CAAACATCGCAATTCGCCCCCCAAAAAATAAAAACCAGCCGCTACCTTGACCACCTCCTGGCCCAGGACGCCTCCGACCACGGCGCAGACGGGAGCCATTTCGGAGAAGCAATAGCTGGAAAAAAGGAAGGGAAATTTAACGGCAAAGCGCGGAGACGCCGCGGTTTTTCCCGAAAAAAAGCTTCCCATTTGGCTAAAACACTGAGTTTTCCCCCAAAAAAAAGGAGGCGGCAGGGCCGCGGCGGCGGCAGGGCCGCGGCGTGTCCCCCTCGCGTGCCACCCTGCTAAAAATAAGCCCCTCAAAATGCCGGCCCTGCGTCCCCCCGGCACATTCCCGTCATTCCCAGTGGGAAGCGTGTGGCAACATGCAGGCAAGGGCCGGGGAGTTCCCGGTGAAAGCGCCGGGGACCTTCCCGGGGTTGACACCGGGGTTCGGCGTCACCGCGAGGACGCGGGGGGTGGGGGGGATTTCTCCACACGGCGGCGGTCCCGGCGGAGCCGGTTGGGATTGCTTGGGATCCCGCCGGCGGAGCAAGCCGGAATCTGGCCCGGCGTCAAAGCCACGGCACCAAAGGCCTTGGGGAAGGCGGTGAACCTCCTCCACCGAGCCGTTAATCCCCGGTGAGGATGACCCAGAGGAAAAGCGAGGCCACGCGGCGGCTCGGGTCACCGCCGGCGTCCTCCTGGTGAGATTCACGGTGAAATGGGTGGCGGGAGCTGCCGGAGCTTCTCCGGATCCAGCGGGAAAGGAGCAAAAACGGCTAACGAGGCGCCGGTGATGCGCTCGGCTCCCCACCGCACCTGACGAATTCATCCGGCAGCAGGTCGGCGCCGACTCCCAGCGCCTCCAGGACGTCGCGGCGGATTTGGAGCAGCAGCTTCGAGTCTTCGGCGTAGTTTTGGGGTGAAGGATCCCGGCCGTTATCCGTCCGGAACTTCAACAACACTGGGAGAGGGGGAGAGAGAGGGTCACACTGTTGCCGGCTCCGGGTGCCGGCACGCAGCTGAGGGGCTGCCGGGAGTTTTGCCGCGCGGCTTTGCCGGCAATTCCGGAGAAGCCGAGGGGAGCCGCAGCTCCCCGTCTCTTTTAGGAGCCTGCCGGCGCCCCGAAGCGACGGCAAAGTGGGTTTGGGAAAGCTTCCCAAGGGAAGAGCCGGGCTGCGAGACGCTCCGGTGTGGCTCAGCTTTCCCCGGATGCCTCGGCGGGAGCCACCGCTGGAGCCGAAAGCTCACGGCAAAGGGATGAGTAACCGGGGCCCGAGCCGCGCGGCGGGGGCTGGCGCTGTTGGGGTCAAACTCGCAAAAACCCCTCAAAGCCAACAACAAAAATAACCAAAAAAAGCTCGGTTTTACCAGGGGAAGCGACTCGCGCTCGCCGCGGCGGATCTCGGGAAGCGTCCGCCTGGTTTAGCGACCAGACAAAGCCGAATTTTCCCCCCCCCCGCGATGCCGGCGGGGAAAAGCAACGGGAATTAAGAGGCCGGGATTTACCTTGCAGAAGGAAATAATCCGGGGCGGTGCGTTTCAGCGCCGCCTTCGCCTTCTCCCCGCTCCAGTCGACGGCCAGGGCTTCCTTCAGCGGGCAGAAAACCACTCGCTGCGAGGGGAGAGAAGGCGGCGGTGGATGAGGGGGGGGGTCTCCGGCAGCAGCGCGGAGCGAAGCCCCCCCATCCCGGGCGGCGCGGCCTCCCTCCCCAGCCCCGTCTCGACGGCGGCGAGGCCGAGGGCCGGGAAACAAAAGCCGCTTTCTCCTCCTCTTCATCACGGCGGGGGGAAGGACGCGGCGGTGGCGGTCACCCCCCCGCTTCTCCCAGTTTAGCTCAGCGAGGGGACCCGGGGACGAACACGAAAGCTGGGGCCGCCGGAGCGGAAAAATAATCGGCTTTTTATTCACGGAGGGAGGCGAGAGGAGAGCAGGATCGCCCTCACCTTCACGCCACGGACCGCGGCATCCAGGCGCGAAACCCATGGGATGGCGGGAGGACGTCTCGACAACCCGCTCGCCTAATTAAAACCTTTTAAGGTAACGCTAACAGCCCTCAGCGTCGGAGTTTAGGATGGGATGAGGAGCACAAACTCCGGAGGCGTTGGAAAAAACCGGCTCCGAACCTCGGAGGTGTGAAACGAGGGAGTTGGGAAATTCTCCGCGACGCGAAGGCCGCGGATACGGGGAAAGGCTTGCCAGAGCCCCGGCCCTCTCTTGGCATCTCAGAAACGGATCTGGAGGAATTCGCCGTATCCGAACCCGTCGCGTTCGGAATCGCCATCCCTCCCCTCCTTCCAAATCGCGGGAGGGTGACAGCTGGTTCCATCGGCATCCGGGGAATATTCCCAGACTTTCCGAGGGGAAGCTGCACCCTCTAAGCCATGGGGGGGGGGGGGGGGGGGGGGGGGAGGACAGCAGAGGGGCGCG